CTCCATGAAACTGTAACTAAAGTCTGTTCAGCCTAGTTACAATATAAACCAGGGGATCTGTGGGTGTTGAACAAAAACAAATGTGTCGGACCGGGCGTAAACAATAGGGACTGGTTAGCCGCCTAAGTAGATGACTATCGTTGAATACGTATGGCCAGCTATTAGTATTATTATATTATCATTATTCAACTGTCAAATAAAAACAGATTAAAATTTCGCAGATATATACCTATAGTTCACCTTACTTATCATTTAGAAAGGAGCCTAAATACGGGAAACTATACACTAAACAATGCTGCCGAAATAACTACGCTATTTTAGATATTAAAACATCAACTAATGTAAATGCTATCAAAAATATTTCACTGTCATTTAAAAGAAAAAGACTAGATTTTATTCATTCGAATTTTAAAATGACATCCTCAGAATAGTGGCCTCTATTCGTCATATCTATTATAGATGATTTCTAAAGTTTTCCATCAGACGAAGAGTCATTTCTAGAGGGCTTCGAGGTGGCATCTTAGAGACTGAAAAATAAATCTAAAATTTTAATTACATAGCAAAATCAATTTTATATTCGGGACATCATGATTCCGAGGTAACATGAAGTGAGCAAGAAAAGCTACCTGTGTTAAAATTAGAGATTCAACAATCTTAAAAATAATCAACATTTCAACAGTACACGCATGATTAGGCAAAGGTAACAGAGTGTATCTAACAAAACCGGTATGATATTATTTAGATCAAGAATTCATTGCCGCATATCTAACTTCACTAGCACTACACAATGGCAGATTAAAATATCGAATATATAACAGCTACACATTTAATTAAGAATGGAAGAGGAAAAAATCTACAAAAATACCATAGAGGATGGTGCGTATAATACCATAGAGGATGGTGCGTATAACACATCACATGTTATCTGATATCGCAATGTCACTATCAACAGTAAGAATTTTCGGTCCCATGACATCGATGATAAATGCCTATTACAAACATATATATATATATATATATATAAAGAAATATAGTCTTAAGGTGTGCTATATTTATGGGATAAAGTGCTCAATATCAGAAATAGAGCGTGTGTAAATATAAAAGTGAACATAGAAGTCAACACTTAGAGGCGACAGTCTGTTTCATGCTATATGCAATCGTCAGGCCACATATGCTGTTATTTTTCTCGGCTATTTATATATATATACGGGTTAGTGGTGCATTGTGGGTATTCTATTATGGCGGTTATTTTTTACCAGAAGTCGCTTTGTTTATTTATTTGGGTCAAATTATATTGCTCGTTTTTATTTTTTTGTTTCTTATTTTATTTATTTATTTATTAACGTAGTAAAAATTTGTTTATATCACGTATTTAACAGTTTTGTTTTGGTTTGAGAATTTGATTAAAGCTATTTGTTCAATTTTGGGGTTGGTTGTTGTAGTTCATTCTAACTATTATTTTTTTTTTGGCGGGAACAGTTTTAATTTGGGATTGGTTTGAATTTAGGTCAATTTTATTTGTATATTTTTTTCTTTTCGGTTTTTTAAGCAACATAGTATTTATTTTATTTTATTTTATTTTATTTTTTTTTTTTTTTTGTAAAAATCTAGCGCTATATTATTATTCAAAAAAATGAATAAACACGCAACTTTGTGTGTTATAGAAAGGGAGGAGGAGGATGTGAAGAAGGAAGGTGAAGAAGAAGAAGAAGAAGAAGAAGAAGAAGAAGAATAAGAAGAAGAAGAAGAAAAAGATGAACAGAACAAAAGCAAGAGTATTATAAATTATCCCCACAGCGATATATTTTAATGCCCTTGTTTTTCTTCTCTTCCCTCTACTTCTTCTTGATCTTCCCTCTTCACATCATGCTCCTCCCTTTCTATTACACCCAACGTCGTGTTTTTGTTTATTTATCTTTGAAAATAATTACATTATACGTTCACTTCTTTTCTTTAAAATAAAGCGTTAAGAGGTCATTTGATAAAAATCGCCTGAACATACCGTTAGGTTGAAACCAAGGTAGCGGAGTCAATTCTTGTCCTGATTTCTAAAGTTAAAAGCTCTGCATGTTTGTTTTTCTTTTCTTTTATTTTTTTGCACGCATAATGATTCAACTCTGATCATTATATATATATATATATATATATATATATATATATATATATATATATATATATATATATATATTATTCTCTAATATTCACCAATTGGAAGTGAGTATAAATAATATTACGGAGGTAAATTTTAAATTAATAATTTAATTTAAATTTAATAATCATTATTGATGATAAAATTATTTAAATTGGAATAATATTTGATAATTATTTAGGTATCTAAAAACAGTCACGAGTTTAATTTATGAACAAAACACAAATGAATAGATGTCAACTTAATAATAAACAAGAAAAAAGTTTAGGAAAATAAAAAAAGGTTACTAGATGTAAAATGAAATATTTTTTCAATGTACTTTCAATTAATTTTTTCCAATCGACCATTTCATAGAAAATAGCCAAACCTCAAACATCAAATCAAATTCTTCGTAATTTTTTTAGACATTTGGATTTATATCAAACTTTAACCCCCAAATATACCCTTTAAAGTAATGCGAAATAACAGCGTCCAAGTAATTGAGTGAAACCTTATCTCATGATCTGGATTCATTATATTGCAGCTTCTTCCTTTTATGTCGGTTTTCTTCTTCACCCCTTACCCATCCATATCTAGAGATAACATAAGCTAAGTTAAGCGATGTATGACCCACACCAAGTGGGGTTAGGGATAAAGTATTGAAATGGCACATCTAACTCACTCATGTCTTCTCTCTCCCCTCACTTCCTCACTTCGTTAATTTACATATACTTAATACGGCCCGTCAAAAATGTGTAACTTTCTTTTCATTTTTCATTTCAACCTTTGGAAGCAAAGTCTGATGATCCGGAGGACTTTAAAAGGGCTGTGGTGAAATAATTTATTACATGGAACCTTAAAGTTGCCTGTTTTTATTCAAACATATTTGCTCTGAATTTACATTGTGCTCTCTCTGGATATCATCCTCCTTGGATCTGCCCATACGGATTACATAGTTTTGCATAAACTATATATATATATATATATATATATATATATATATATATATATATATATATATATAAGAGAAAGCTTGTATATTCAATACATTTTGGCTGAATCGGTTGGGCAGTTTTTGTATTTATGTACGCTGGGACAGAAAGAAAGAAAATATCCATACGCAAATCTATAATAGAAATGATACGAAACTATGTGTCAAACTGAAGAGACAATGCTATATACGTTACGCATTAAATAGATGCGCAAAATTCCTCTGTAAATAAATGTATGAATTTCAGACATAAGAATAGATGATAACGTTTGGAAATCTCCCAATTTAAATTTATTTTTATAATATTTCTTCACTGAGGCTTGTAATGAATGTTTTTTTTTTTAAAAAAACTGAGAAGCAACCTTATGGCGACTGAAGCTGAGCCAGAAGATGAGGACCAATAATATGGCTGATTCTTTAAACAATCTTATCAAGGAGCTCAAGATAAATATCAGGATCACTGGAGCAGAGATGGAATCAATATTCTAAGTATGGCTGAATGGCCACTTAAAATGTATAAGATAGATTCCTGTGAGAAAAAATATCTCGCACCAATCAATGGACCGCATTTATTAGCAGATGACCTAGCAATGGATTCAATGTACCCGTTCTACTTCATATCAGCTGAGAACGACGTTAAACCGAGAAGTCGAAACAAGTCATTTTCCTTTAGGTCAGCATCAGTATATATATATATATATATATATATATATATATATATATATATATATATATATATATATATAATATCTCTTTCATAAAAAAAAAAAAAAAAAAATCTCCATAGACACGCATACCAGAATAAGGTTAATACATCTTCCGTTTCAATTTTAGACACCCACACCTTTCCCTGACATCTATGAAAGTAACTCTATACTGATACTTATTATTAACACCCAACACACGCCTACACAATTTAAAGAATTCGCCCTAGCTGTTACCATGCAAATTCTGATTTCAATTATTAAAACACGTAAACTTCAGAAATACGTTATTCAAAAAAAAAAAATTCGCTTGAAGATGGAACAGAGCTTATTTTAACTCAATTTAATTCAAATAGTTATATTGAAGTTTTCGGCTCTTGTTTTGAAACATGAGACCTCTTATGTCACGAGTTGGAATCATATTTTTAAATGAATAATTATATATATATATATATATATATATATATATATATATATATATATGTGTGTGTGTGTGCGTGTGAGAGTGCGGGAGTGTGTGAGCATGTGTGTGTGTGTGTGTGAGTGCGAGTATGTGAGCATGTGTGTGTGTGTGTGTGTGTGTGTGTGATTTGGCATTTATTAAAAATGCCATTCGTTCTATCTGCTCTTTTCCCTTTCTGATTACAGCTATGACCCAGTGACAAATGTTTTTTGTGAGTCCTGGGAGTTCATCTTCCACGATATTCAAGATTCTAGCTCCCCGCCTCCACGTCGCGATCTTTTCACTCTCCTCATATCTTCATATTTAATTGTGCATACCTAGGTATGTACGCACACACATCTCTCTCTCTCTCTCTTTCTCTCTCTCTCTCTATATATATATATATATATATATATATATATATATATATATATATCATTTTGCGTGGGATATTTCGCATCTGCGAACACGTGTCTATGACTGTTTCACTATACGTTGAAATATTGTGACTGGTGTGGGGTGTGACTCCCTTCGAAAAATATCGACTTCAAGATCGATGTATTCTCTTCTGAAAACAACGATTACTAATTCATTCAATTATATGTTCGAATGCCAATTGGTCAAATCTCAAGGCTCATCCATCACTTCTCCGCGTGCGCACAATTTCTCCTTATCAGATAGTTGAGTAGTTTGTGCCAATAACCACTTGCTTTGTTTGAGTTGATACCTTGCCCAATGCATATATACGCGTGGCTGTGTGCGGATGATGGCGACCACGCGCGTAAGTGGTTGGTTGATTTGTTGTTTTTGGCGGTTTCTTTCGCGCCACTTCGTGCGTTAATCTGTTTTGCTTGGTCTATTTCTATTCGCATTGATTTCTTTGTGGCCAAAAGTGAACGTTTCACTGCTTATTAATATTTGATTCCGTTATTATTTATCATCGGTAGAAACCTCCGATGATCATTTATTTTATTTTATTTTACTTTTCGATAATTTCTCTTTTATTGCCTTAGCTCTGTAGCAGTTATTGACAATCCAACGTTTATTTCGAATGTCAAAATTCGGAACTAATATCCAGAGAAATTCAACAGATTCTTTTTCTTTTCGAGTGTCTATTTTAAGATAGTCTTATGTGAAAGTATATCTGCTCTGTAATTAGTAATTAATTCAAAACTTATACAAATGTCAACTTCCATTCAACCTGAACATAGTATTTCAAACTATTGTCCATATCTGAAAAAATGATCTTCATTATTTGATAAGATACTAAGTTCAGTATAACTTCATCTGAAGACAAATTAACGTCTCATTGAGTGTATTATTTTTATTTATTAATTTAATGAATGTCTATATTTTTTACTATATGCATCCATTTTCAAAATTACGTTGAAGATGGTATTTCAGAAGAACTCATTCACGTACAGAAATTTTAAATTTGGATCATTTTCGATGTACTTGGCCTGTTATATGCGTTCATCTTTTTTGTCACTTATAAAAGTTAATCACTTTCATATGCTTTTTATGTCCAAAATATTTCCAAAAGCTGGAGGTGATACATTGAAATATAGATTTATATTTGGCATAAGAAAAATAAAGTTAAAGAAGGCGGACATTTTGCGTAGGCGGCGGTTTTGGAAGGAATTGTTATATTACCTTCATCCCGGAAAAAAAAAAACTAAATATTAGACTAAGTAGAAACATTACCTTTTAGGGATGTCTGATTGAATAAATTACACATATTATGTCCGTATTTTTATCACAATCGTTTCTTATTCACGAATATTTTCCGTATATTACAATCTATATTGTGAGATACACGTAATGTTATCGTGAAATCTCACTACAGATTGGGATCTAGAGGGTGACCCACCGAAAAAACAGGAAATTTTAGATTTATTATATGCTGAAAAAACTTGTTTTAGATTGAACACCATATCTAACATTTGTGTTTTAAGCTACTAAATTTCTATCCTTTGCTTTTGTTTCACATAATTGTAACAAAAATCCCAACCATTAAATAAAGTATACGGTAGTTGTCGGTGAAAATTTTTGTTCGGCAATAAATGACCCGACATTTTCTGATTCAACTTCTAAACATATGCCAACACACGTGTTCATAAACGCTTACAAAGAATTTGGTGTGAATTAGCCTGCATGTGATTCTGATTTATGAATCTGTAAACTGGCCATGAATTCTTCGCTTTGATAGGATGCCGAAATGGTAATTGTTTTAATTTATACCAATAGCCGAATACCAGACATACGTAGGCAGAAAATATAGTTGCAAAAGATCTTTTTCTTTTCTTTTTTTCTTTTTTTTTTTTTTTTGCCCTATCCCTTATGGATGATGTCTCTCCGAATGTTCGGCAGAAGCAGACAAAAAAATTTGCGTAAGACATGATGAATTCTTCTTCTTCTTCTTCTTCTTCTTCTTCTTCTTCTTCTTCTTCTTTTCTTCTTCTTCTTCTTCTTCTTCTTCTTTTCATCGCCTCTTCCTTCTTCTTCTTCTTATTCTCCTTCTTCTTCTCATCTTCTTCTCCTATTCCTCCTTCTTTTTCTCATCTCCTCCTCCTCTTCCTTCTTCTTCTTCTCATCTCCTCCTCCTCTTCCCTCCTCTTCTTCTCATCTCCTCCTCCTCTTCCTTCTTCTTCTTCTCATCTCCTCCTCCTCTTCCTTCTTCTTATTCTCATCTCCCCCTCTTCTTCCTTCTTCTTCTTCTCATCTCCTCCTCCTCTTCCTTCTTCTTCTTCTCATCTCCTCCTCCTCTTCCTTCTTCTTCTTCTTCTCATCTCTTCCTCCTCTTCCTTCTTCTTCTTCTCATCTCCTCCTCCTCTTCCTTCTTCTTCTTCTTCTCATCTCCCCCTCTTCTTCCTTCTTCTTCTTCTCATCTCCTCCTCCTCTTCCTTCTTCTTCTTCTCATCTCCTCCTCCTCTTCCTTCTTCTTCTCATCTCCTCCTCCTCAAAATTTCCTCACCCATTCACACAAGTTCGTCGGGTAGGTGGCACGATGTTTTCCCCTATCTTTCTAGCTCTCGTTGTACCCTGCGAGTTTTGGAACCACCCTTCTTCAGTATGGGTTCAAGAAACCCCAGATTCGGAATATAAGTGTTACTTTACCATTTTCATTAGGGCTTCTATGTTGATTACTCATTCTATCCATGGACATCTCAATGGCCTGTACAACGACATGTGTGCTGTATTCAGTTTTCTCTTCATCTGTGGAGAGATTTTTACAACAATCATAGACATGCAAGGCGATTGATACAAAATAGCAATTCCAAACACGTTTCATTGTTTCTAAAAACATTTTCCTGTATCTTAGTACTTTCTTATGGTATTGGAATGTATTATTTATTAAACAGTTGCATTTTCTGATTTCAGTGTTGCATTTTCCATTCTATGTTAAAACATTTATATATATATATATATATATATATATATATATATATATATATATATATATATATATATATATATATATATATATATATAATAATAATAATAATAAAATAATAATAAAAGGGTTAAACACTAATATTCCATGGTCATAATTTATTCCATTGGAATCGTAAATACGATCCAATTCATCAGAGCTTTTTGAATTTGTAGATCTGATGAATTGGATCCTATATACGATTCCAATGGAATAAATTATGACCACGGAATATTAGTGTTTAAGCCTTTTTTATTATATCCTTACTCTGTCCTGGACATTGAGTTCTACCTGGATTCTTTTCGTCTTGGAATTTTTTATTCAAAAATATACATGTATGTGTATGCACCTATATATATATTTATATATTTTACATATGTATGTGTATATTTACCACTATATATATATATATATATATATATATATATATATATATATATATATATATATATATATATATATATATATATATACTGATTTTGATATCTAGAGCCGGTTCTCATATTAGGATTTTTCTCTTCGTCACAACCATATATGTCATTTCGTTTGCCTTGCTATCTAGCGTGTTTTTCCCCTCGCTTTTATTTACTTTCTAGTATAAAAAGTCTTTTAGTTTTCTTTCCGTGTTAGCATCAACACGTAGCCACTTTCGTTTCTTATAATGTTAAGATTACTCCTGCTACACACGATAATTAAGCCTGACAGGTTAGCCAGCATCCTTACGTTAGCCTCGCTTTAGGTGTTGAACACATCTGTTGAGAATATGTATTATTGATTCACGCCCGTTTCTACTTTTGTGTACCTAAGCAAATCTTTTCTATCTATATTCAGCTAGATTGCTCTCTGGATTTTTCAAATATCTTTTCTAAATAGATCTAATTTTATTATTAATACAAATAGATTTCTATGCTATGGCTTGCCAAATGCCTTGTCCTAATCTATAAAACATAAGTTCACATCCTTGTAAATTTGTATTCCACAATTTAATAATATTCTAATCCTGAATATCGCATTTCTTTCTCCAGTGACCTTCACAAAACATTATTTACATTTTTCGGACTGTTATCCATATCTTCATTGCCATATTCTTAAAGTTTTGACCGTTGTCCGCTCCGGCCTTCTTCAGGTGATTGGAATTTCAATCCGAACACTTTATTTCGTCCACATATGCTAGGCCACACAAATCACCTGAGCCGACCAAGGATATAAATTAATACAGTATAGGAAACAACAATAAAGAGTACTAGAGAAAAGCTATGAATAACAACAAGAACTAAATTGCAATATGAGCTGTGGTAAAAAAAACAAAAACAACATGAAAATAATAATAACAAAGGATTGCAATATGCGCACTGGTAAAAATTGTTACTGAAACATTAGATTTATATGTCACAGAAATTCACACACAGACTCAATGGGCTAGTGGATATAGAGGTTTGGTAAATCCAGTGATTGGACCCAAGGAGTTGTGAGCTCAGTACCAGGCCACAGTGAGAGTTGAGTTAAAGGAAAATAACTAAGACATCCGGAAGAGGCAGGATACATGGAACTAGAACAGTCTCACCCGGTAGACGAAATAAAGGGTTCTGTTCGAAATCACTTGAAGAAGGCCGGGGAATACAACGGTCAAAACGTTGCGAGGATGGCAATGAAGATGAGTATAACAGATCAAATAATGTAAATAATGCAAATAATTTTAATACCTCATGTCAGAGATATAGACAAATCCTTGGTAAATCCGCACTATTTTAGCCCTATTTATGGTCTAATTGTGTTTCTTTGTTCTATTAATCAGGATTCGGATCATTAGTTTGGTTATATAGGTCATCAATCAGATTGCCCGATGAAGCTCGCATTCTTTTCAATGTGGTCTTTTTGCTAATGCTAGAAATGACTGTACTGATGTTCTGCGTCATGTTCTCACTGTTGTGCATTTCGTTTATTAATACTGTGATCTCGTGGACATCTAAATCTTCCTCGCCGGTGGACATGTCTACGATCGCATCAGATCCAGCTCCTTTTTTTCCGTTGATCTTGTCCAGTGCTGATCTTACTTCAGACTTTGATATTTCCATGCTATACACAGTGAAATATTTCCTATCTTTGGTGTATTTTTACTTCTCTATTCCAGTGACACTTCTTTTCATTTCATCCAACTTGATGAGCTCAGCTTTTCGTCCTGTTATGTCTTTTATTCTGTAGCTTAGAATAGGTAGGAGTAATGGATGGCGTCTCGGATTGAGGAATCGGAGAACCGAGTCCGAATTCCAGTCGAATTCATTATAGTCTAATACCCTTGGAAAAGATATCAATCCGCTTTTTCTCACCTATAGTTATGGGTAAATAGCAAGAGAGACCAAGATATATAGCAGTGGGAGGCAACTGGTCTACCGCAGAAAGAAATGGCAACCTAAAGCGGGAAAAATCTGCCTCGTCAGTCATAATATCGAAAGATACATGATCGTCTAAGCGTGTATCACACATAGCACATAACTGACTCATATAATAACGTTATCTGTGTTGGCTATCCTTTCTATTTTCGCACTCATTTCAATGGACCGTTCCTACTTAGCCTGAAAATATTTGTTCCTAATTTCTGTGTTAAGAATCGCTGTTATTTTCATCTCTTCACCATTACAAATATAAATATTTCTTAAGATCTAATACATTTTCATTGCTTCACTGTGTCGTGCACAACATTTTGTCTGGCCAGAATCTATCTTACATATTTTTTTAAGTCTACCACTCAGCTATGATTTGAATATTGCTGGCACAGAAAATAATTGGTGGTATCCTTTAATGCGAGGTTATGCTACAGAGTGAGGACATCTTTCAGCAAGACAATACGTTGTATCATAAAGCATAATTATTTCTCTACGTTACCGAGACAATATGAACTTAAATGCACTACTAGATTGACAACTAGGTGTCATCACTTTACAGTAGATGGGGTTAGATATGTCAGTAAGTTTTATGCTAACAGTTTCTTTACTCGCACTTCTTGCTTGTGGAACATGTCGAGATAAATGAAATAGCATTCACAGTGTTAAATTCTTTCATCGCTGGAACAAAAACATCTAGCGATCACCGAACAAAAGAGAAGATGCAACATTTTTATCGACGTTCTGTTGACTTCCCAGCATTAGGGGGTTTATAGAACACAATGATAATCCTATTGACAGACTTAATCGACCAGACAGTCGAGAGCTGATAACTCTCTTCTGATCCTATCATTATTGCTGTTTTAGACATTATATGTCACTAATCTTCCGCATGTTCGGCGCGAAGACTGTTGTTTGGTAGATGTGCCGTTGCAGTTTAAATATTTGAGTTAACTTTCAACTGTATCTTTTTCTTTATATTTAATTGTCATTTTTGTTTCCGTTTACTTAAAAACTATGTCGTTCCATGTACAGTCTATGACATTTTCGGCTCCTTCTACATTTCTCGGATATCAAGACGCTTCTCACTCCGTGATGAGATTGTCTATTATATAGATAGACCGGGATCATATATCAGTAAACTATTATTTTCTGTTTCTAAAGAAACATTTCCTGTTTTTTAATACTTTTCTTAGATTTGGACGGAATACTTTGCTATAAACTACGCCATCGGTGTTCTAGTATCGCTTTTCTCGTCCTCTGTGAAAATACTTTACTAGATATTTAAATATTTGCACTTGCTTGATTGTAGCATCTCTGATTTGTTGGTCGAAAGTTGGACTCTTTTTTCCCCTGACAAACGTGACGCTAAAAAAAATAAAATAAAATCAGCCCTCATGGCTGCATAAGAAGAAAGAACTGAAAGATAATTTTAATGATAAAATTGTTTCCCGTTCGGTTTTGCTGAGAAATGCCTCGACCGTGTCTGGAACAATCGAAAATTTAACGCTGGTTTTCTCCATCAAGTCTGTATAAATCGCTGGTAGTCTCCATTTTCATATATAGATGTGAAACGTGGACACATTTGGCAGATACAAAGAGAAGGACCGAAACTTTTGATAACAAATGCATGAGGAATCTCTTTGGCATTTTCTATTGGGAACAAAAAAGACAAAGTATTATGTGAGGAAAAGGTTTGAAAGTTTTGTGGGACACCAGGAACCTACTCTGACCACTGTCAAACGGAGACAAATGGTGTGGTTTAGACACATTACAAGCCAGACAGCCTGTGCAAACATCGTGCAAGGCAGCGTTAAAGGTGGATATAAAAGAGGATGCCAACGCCTAAACAGGTTGAGAATATCAAACAATTGGCAGGTATGATTGTACCCGAACTGCTGATGGCTACCCTAGACAGACCGTTGTGGAAAACAGTTAGTGTGGCTTCTGCGTTCGGATCCGCGCTACAATTACAGAAGTCAAGGGGATGATGATGTTAATGATAATGATGTTGATGATCTTGATCAAGTCTTGGATAATAGAACTGTCTCTTTGTTATAAACTTTCGATAGTTATAATCAAACTAGGAATACGTGACAGCACACAGTAAACAGATCCTTGTTACGCCAGTGGGGGTGCTTAATTCATTTTGCAGGCAGATATCCGGAAATAGATATTGCGTCAA